AGGGTTAGTGAAGGAAGAGAGAGAAAGAGAAGATTAGGGACATAGAGAAGGAAGAGATCGAAAATGAGTGCGGAGGGAGAGAGAGAGGAGAGGGGTGAACAGGTAAAGAGGGGGGGAAGGAGGGGAGGAAGTTCACACAGAGAGAGAGAGAGAGAGAAAGAGAGGGGGAGAGAGAGAGAGAGAGAAATACAGGGAGTAGAAAAAGTACATCCATAAGGGGCGAAGACGGTAGGCACATGGAGAGAGAGGGAGGCGCGCAGCACATGCGAACACGACACGGGAAGCAAATAGAAAGGGCCTCGCTCCACTGCTCAGCACATGCACAAAAGACAAAATATGCCTATGTATCTTCGCATGTTCTAACGGAAGATTCACTCTCATTTTGCACATTTGGTCAGCAGCGGAGCGAAGCCCAAAAAGAGACACACACACACACACACACACACACACACACACACACACACAGAGAAACAGATACCGGCGGCCAAACAAACAGGAAACGAAATGAACGCAATTGCAACATGCAGCGGAAAAAAAAAAAAAAAAAAAAAAAGAGAGAGAAATGCGCGTAATTGAAAGAAGACATTCATACTCTATAGACTTACATGCAACTCATCCTCCTCTTTCAACTCATCCTCCTCTTTCTTTTTTCTTTCCTTTTTTTTCACTTTCCTTTTTTTTCTTTTCACATTTTTTTTCCTTACTTACAGGGTTCCTGAAGAGATCCTTGAGCAGCTTGCGATACCGCTTCACGGGTACTCGAGAGCGCGCGCGAAGCGCGGGGCAGCATATAAACGCAGTCCCGCAGAAGTTCATACAACTATTGCTGAATCTCTTTGTCAGGTAGCCCATTGTGTTCACGTAATGATCCAGCTTCGCCAGCTTGGGGAGCCAACTGCCTCCTCGACCTCCTCTCCCAAAACCACCTCCTTCGAACTGCGGGAATTCTCTCTCGAGTTTCGCGAAACCGAAGTCCGACTCGCGATCCAGCTTGCTCCGCTTTCAGCCACGTGAGCAGATCCCGACGAACGACAACGAGACACGTGTCTGGGCGTAAACCACCCAACCCCTCCTTTCCTTCACGTCAGGAAACACACGCCGGCTCTGGGGGGGGAGGAAGGGGGGGGAATCACAAAGAGAGAACGAGAGAGCTGGGACGGGTTGGGTGGAAGGTGGGGAGGAA